ACAGTTTTTTGTACCGTCGCCTTATGAATAGGAAAAGTATCATTGAACTGAACAAGTTGGCTACTTCATAATAAGATCTTTTTCTGTCACCGTGCCCTCTCATCATTAGAATAGTAATTCGTTCTTTTTCGTTAAGAGCCATTTTAGAGAAGCAATTTGTCTTGCAGAACTTTTCGAAACACAATTACTGTCAGTTTTAGTTAATAATGTAAATGGTAAACAAATGTCAAAATCACAGCATTCTACATTTTTTTTATTAGGTTAATGCCTCGACAACTATGATCATGGGCATGGTACAGTCAGGTACCTAGTGTAGTGTGTGTGTGTGTGTGTGTGTGTGTGTGTGTAGAGTAATTGTCTTGATACTTAGCAAAGTCGACGTCATTGTCTTTGCTAAGAGACGCTAATTGTATCCGAACGTCAGCGGTCCCTCCGGTGAGTACCGATCGCACTAGGATAGAAATTATTTTCATTCATTAATTTTTAATAAATGAAAATTTCTCCACCCAGATGAGATTCGAACTCACGACCTTTAGGTTTAAAGGTAGGCGCTCTTACCACTGAGCCACAGAGGGGTGCATTCTACATTTAAATATTTAAATTTATTAAAATCTACATATTTTGCACTGTTTTATGTATTTAAGACCTTCCAGACTACATAAAATCATAAGTGTTACATATGGCTGAACTCGTATTGAATAGGAGATTCCAATAATTACTGAATATACAGGGCAATGAATTTGAAAAACCAAAGTTACTAACAATATAAGAGAAACTCCGTATCCGAAAATAGGTGTACCTCAAATTTTGTACAATTATGACTAGCAATTTACGAGATAATTGGTCGTTTCCAGACTTTTAGTGATTATATCGCCCCCTCACATTATACTACAGGAACCTAATACTATTTTTTGTTTCAGGTAAATTATATAATTACATAATCCGTACTGCTGTATATTGGTTCTTTAAGGTAAGTCATAGTAATTAAATTAAAAAAGATTTTAATATATAGGGAAAATTAGTATTCAAATATGGATAGGGCGAGAAAAGATTTACTTTATGTCTTACGAATAAACCACATTGAAGACTGTTTACGTCCATATATAACCTGGAAATAATTCCTGATTAAAATTAATAGAAGGCAACAGTTTAATTCTGATATAACAGCTAGATCATAATGATATAATAAGTATATGCTGATAAAATATTATAAAAACACTCCTTGGACTCTCAGCTTTCGAAAAAAATTTAGCCGCTTAAGAATCAGATAAACTTAGCTTATACTGAGTAACATATCAAGTAACACATCAGAAAAAGGCAAGCACAAACAGGGAGAGTGCAACAGAGAAACAATATTAGCCATTACACACTCACTTTTGTGAGATTATAAGTCAAGCTTCTGTGTCTAAAGTCACGAGTCAATATGGTTTGAAACATAAAAATTGTTACGTTACGTGCAATAAAGACTTAAATTTCTACATTAACTTTGTAGAGTCATACAGACACCTACTTTTCAGTTATGTTTTGTAAATGATAATATGCCAAAAGGGACAAAGCACCCATAATTTTTAATAATTGTATAGTGACGGGGCAAAGTCATCTAAGTGCCAAAAAACATTTTATTGGGAAAACACAAAAAACCGTTTTTGAATCAAATTTATTGTCGTAAATCGTTTATTTAAAAATAAAAACTGTTAAATTGTCATTTTAAATATTAAACATTCTTCAAATATAACACATATTACAAAAAATGAAAGTGCTTAAACTGTCAAAATGTTTAAAAAATATTGTTTATTGTCATCATCGAGAAATTGCAACATTGCAGTAATGTCTTTCTTTTTAGATTCTTTTAAAGGTAAGGAATTTGGAAGAGAAGACAGTGTAGCATTTTTGATGGTAGTGGCAGTAATGCCAGGTTTTAGGACTATACAACTTTCCTATGGTGCTAAATCACTGTAACTTTTCTTGTACATGACGGTCCCAGGGTTGTTCTTTGAAACTCGAATCCAAACAGCTGTAGAAATTCCAAGTTTGGCTGTATTCAGAAACGCGGAAGAGGCTGCATCAAAATCAAAAAACGTTTTCTCGTCACCCATGTTCAGAACTTTGTAAGGACGTCAAGGTCTCGCTGTGACTATCGCCTTCATAACATCCTGCATATTAATTAGCTTGCATTGTCTTGCTCTTTTTTCGATTAAAGCAAAATCCTGATCTGAAGCTGAGAACGAATGACCTTATACAAGAAACTTATGATCAATCGTTTCATAAACTTCATGTCAGACAAGAAAAATGTACAAGAACAAAAGCATTCTGTTTTTCAACTGATCTGCACAGTTATCACTCCAAACGCACAGATTTTTTTTGTATGTATTGAGTAGTCCACAGTTTAGTGTTTGTAAAAGGCAAGATGCCATTTGGTTGCCTCCTCTTCCTGATTGCCCCTCATGCCAAATACACATCAATCCATCATCTGTATCAGCTACGTGAATACCAAAGTTGTAACCAGATATTTGGCCGGAATAGTACATACTACTGTGAGTTAGTTTGGGTAACGAAACAACTTTCTGCAAATCCATTGTTATGGTGCACGTGTCACTTACTGGCAAGGTGCTTCGTATAAAGTCGCTTTTTATAGATGCGAAAACAGCTTCTACTTGGCGGTGATGTAACTTAAGTTTTGTTGTCCCTGTTTTCTTGGTTGCTGGGTCAGAACTTTTGGTTGATATGCTCAGTTGATCGCATGTTGTGCAAGTATCCACTCGTGGTCGACGGAAGGATAGGTTCGGAAAATCCTTCAAAAAAACACTTCGGTAAAACTTGTGTGAAATATGAGTACAAGGATTCTTTTCTTGAAATGCCCTGAAAAGCCTATGCACATTCAGATCAGAGCTCAAATACTCTTTGTCCGACTTAAGTCGGTTGTAATGACTGACATCTCTAGGGAAGCTATTAATATGTTGTTTCACTAAACGACGATCATGGACAGTGAATTTAAACATTTTTGCACCACCTCGCTTGTCTGTGTAAATGTAATCCCCACTTTTTTCCTTCTTGACAATGGTTGTAATCCTTTGGGGAGTAATAGCAAAAATCTTCATGAATGCCTGTTTACAAAGTTTTTGTAAACCTCCCTTACCATCAGGAACAGTGTAACTCATAGTGCATTGGCGTCGGCTCTCTGAATCATCATCGTAAGTACCATGACGACATCGTGTCAACGGAAGTATCTGAATCAGTCCCATAAGATAACTACCCTGTGCATTTAAATCCAGTGAATAGTAGGACTCATGGAGTTTCATCTTCTCTATTCCAGTCAGTTCCTTACAATAGCTGTTCTTACATTTGCATTCAACCTGAAAACAAAAAAAGCAAAATATAAGGTTACATTGCAAATGTTGGTTTTTGTTGCTAACGTCATTATTGCACACATACTCGAAAATAAAAATTAATACTAACCTCGTTTTTAGGTTTACGTCTTGCCGGAACTAGTTTTTTAAATTTATCGGTAGTGTACGAATTTCCACTAACTCGTGCCTCACTCTGTATTTTTCTCTTACGTTTTTTGTTTTTAACTGTTTCATCACGACAAAATGCTTGTTCATTCATTATTTCATGCAAAATAGGAATTTTAACCTTAAAACGACACGTTCCCGAACGTTTTTAAGCAACTACTGACATGGAAAAATACTAATAAAGAAGCATGGCACTTAGAACAGTTTGGCCGGATACGTCCGAAGGACATACCGCTAGCTTGATCATGCAGTCAATTTTTAAATTAGGTAACAGTAGAATAGGGACTTAAATCACAGTGGGGCTATTGGCGATGGCACATAGAACACTTTGAGTGGAAAAAGTGATTTTTTGATTTTTTGACACTTAGATCACTTTGCCCCGTCACTCTACAATTATACTAAGATCTCTAATAAGATAGTCCGCCAAGTGGATACCAGCATTCTAACTGCCAGCCGTCTACCATTTCTAATCTCTATTCGCCAAAAATTTAAGTACATATAATATTTTCCGATGACTCTACAATCGAATATAATATTTGAAATCTACAATCTAGCTGTTTTTAGTTGACAATTATTGGCAATATATATATATATATATATATATATATATATATATATATATATATATATATATATATATATATATATATATAAGTAAAACATTTGCTATATCCACACGCCAACACTATTGTTATACATATATCTATAAAAGCATTAAACCTAAGATAACGGTCTTAGAGAGCAGAACCTAGTTTAGTTGTGAAACAAAAAGAAAACACTATTAAAACAATTTTAAATCAGAAAGACTATTCTAATTTCATGAAAAGCGCAATAATCCTTTGATCTTGAATTACTTTTAATAAAATATATAGTAAACAAAAACCTTTCACTGGGCTTACTTATGGACTAAAAAGTATTATTCCGTTATATTTAAAGTGTTCTATCAGTATTGTACTGAAACTTAAAAATTTTATATTTATCAAAAAATGCAATACAATTTTCACATTTTCTTCTGAATTTCCAATATATTTTGGTCCTCATTTATTTATTATTAGTATAAATAATTACTGTCTTTACTGAAATAGCAAAGACAGAAAGATCCATGGAAAGACAAATGCTGAACATTAAACTATCAGACAAAAAAAGAAACGAATGGATCCGTAATAAAACAAAAGTGAAAGATGTCGCAAGTAGCAAAGCTTAAATGGAAGTTCGCCGGACACACCCTAAGGCAGAAAGATGAAAGATGGACTAAAACAATTATACATTGGAGACCATGGAATCACAAACGTAAAAGGGGAAGGCCACAAATGCGATGGTCAGATGACCTGAAGAAACACGCCGGGTCAAAATGGATGCAAATTGCCCAAGATAGAGAGGCATGGAAGAAGGAGGAGGAGGCCTATATCCAAGGATGGATGTTAAGGGCTGTATAGATAGATAGATAAATAATTACTAGAATACAATACAAATGCAAAAACTACTTACCTATAAGACCAGCGTAGAATGCGTGCCGAGCTAAGGGTAAAACAGCATACTGCAAGTACCCTCCAAGTAGATCAGTTAACGCTAGAAGAGTTACCCGTTTTTTTCGACCAGTGGTGGCTGTCTTTACAACTTCAATTAGCAATCGGAAATAACTAACTATATCGTCGACAAAAGCGTTGCTGTCTATGTTGAAAACTGTTACGTCCGGCAGTAAGTCTTCTAGGATCATCCTGGTCGTCAATATAGCTATCTCCTCCAGAGACCAACATTGTTTATACACATCCGCTGGAGTAAATAGAACTGTCCCGACTCCGTTTACGCTTTCGTTTGTATCGTTGCAATGTTTGATCTTTGGTGTAGCTTTAACTATAGTTAAAATATAAATAAATATAAAAATTGGCAAGTATGACATTACAAAGACAATGTCAGTTTTGAATGATTGATTAAAATTATTGGTCTGTAGCTTTATTTCAAATAATGATGCATATCTGATTGTTTGTAATTGGTTGAAATATAATAATAAAGCATTTACTCATAATATAATATTATTAACATAAATTAATATTTAAAAAAAGACTCCAGGAGAGTTTTAGTTCAGGAAATGTACAGTGCGAAGCACAGAAATGTCCCGTCTGTTCAGCTAAATGGGGCATAACAAATAATAAAAAAATATTTGGATTGAAACCAATTCGTTTTTCGTATTCCATAAACCTATCTATACTGCCACGACTATACACAATTCATCATCCCATTCTATACAACATAAATTGGCAGCATATCACAGCATGTTACATAGATTAATAGAAATTCCCATGTCAAAAAACAACTTCGACATAGAATTGAATATCTTTATACAAATAGCAGTAAACAGTGGCTATAACGAACAGTCAATAAACAAAATTTTAAACTAAAAACTGAATAAGAAAGTACTGAAATTTGTCTTTATTACATGTACAGGCAAGATATAATTACAAATAGCCGAACATATAAAAAACAAACACAAACTGAAGCCAATATATTAAGAACAACAAGAACCAAAAGAAAAAGCGGATATACAAACTTACATGTGGAGACTACCCAAAAACTTACATCGGTCAAACGAGTAGAACCTTTATCAAACGGGTATCAGAACACAAAATGGCTTTCAATAATAGAAAAACAGATTCTACTTACGCATTTCACCTCATGATCATAACCATTCTTTTAATAACCAATTTCAAATTCTTTACCTTCAAAATAAAGGCCTTAAGCTATGATTATTAAAATCTATGGAAATTAAAAAATCAATCTGAATAAACCAACTTGAGACAAACAGTTCTTCCCTCCTCGACTTATTCAGTTAAAGAATATTAGGTGTTAGACGCATAACAGAACACCTGTAGTGATAATAAATTATATACATAAAATCATGAATTTGTTGCTTGTGTGAGTCCATTTCAAATAGGTAAAGAAATAATAAATCAGACTTACTCACAATCAATTTAATTTAACTATCCGACGACCGGTTTCGCTTTCTACAATATGCAAAGCATCTTCAGGTCTCGGTACAAAGTTAAACAAATGATGCCGGTACTCTATTAATAGATGGATGGTAGAACATGTTTGAAACTACTGTATATTGTTGAATGGAGAACTCAATACTATTATTGCAGTTGTTTGACAGTAAACGGGAAGTTCTTGAGGAGGTAGATTTGATCCAATGAATTTGAGATGTGTGTGAGATTGTTTGTTAAATGTAAGTGGTGTAATATATTATTGTGTTATTAAAAGTTATTTATACTTATTCCAGAGATATATTTTTGAAATGTGTGTTATTTATTGAGTAATTGTTTTATGAAGGTGACATTTATGACAATGAATAAGTGTAGATGTAAAATTGTGTGGGTGTGCAATTATTTCCAAACTTGTAGTTATCAAATTACTTTGATAAAGTTCTATTGGCAATGTGTTAATTATTGGAATGGTCAAGTGAATAAAATGAATAAAATGGTAAAAAATGGTAAAATACAAACACTTAAGGATAATTTAAACACACTAAAAACAGAAAACACTTAGAAGGGACGAAACAAACATTGAATTTAAAAGGGGAATTACTTTAAAGCACTACATCAAAAGACTATGATGTAGTTCTAAGACTATGATGTTCTACCATCCATCTATTAATAGAGTACCGGCATCATTTGTTTAACTTTGTACCGAGACCTGAAGATGCTTTGCATATTGTAGAAAGCGAAACCGGTCGTCGGATAGTTAAATTAAATTGATTGTGAGTAAGTCTGATTTATTATTTCTTTACCTATATACATAAAATTTGTGTAAGTGTTGCTTATGTCTTTGTCGGCAATGAAATTTGTTTCACTATGTGCCATGATATCAAAATTTTTTTTAAGAACACAGATTTTGATTTCAATAATATGTGCAGTTAGTGATCTTACATTAATATGACCAAATGCAATCATAATATAAGAAGTAGAATAAATTATTTATCAATTTAATATTAGAATAATAATTATATCGCACTAATAGATAGAGGCATAATATTTAAATTCGTAGAACTGTACATTTATTTTTACAATAACAGATAGCAGAAAACAATTAATAAGAAAAAAAATATAATGAAAACTAGAAACTCTACGTAAATTTTGTGTTTTTGTTTGTCAAAAATAGTACTCAGTTAGCGCCACAACCCAACATTTTGTTTATAGCAACAAAGCAAACGAATATATTTTTACTCACAGGTAATTTAGGTTGATTGGTCGAAATTTTACTCTTTCATATCCAAACTGGTAATCTGTTTCTTTGCACCACTTACACTTGCAAAAAATTTGGCCTTTCCACTACTAACAGCACTTCTAACCGAACTTATTAGACGCATATTTATAAATAGTTCATTCTCTCTTGTTAGAAGTTCCATTACAACTTATCCACTGCCCTTCAATTTCAATTTATTTCAAACACTAAATCCCGTTTCCATTTATTTATAAACATCACTACCGTTGGTCGTACTTTAAGCGGAGCATTCACGTTCCGATATTTTTAGTTCTACTTGTGGTCCAACCTCCGAAGTTGGATCCGATATCAGACCGTATGTGGGCTTGCTGGATTGCTGGAAATCTAGTTGTATGAGACGGAACATTTACAGGGACAATTCGAAGGTCCAACTTCCGACTGGCAACGGAGTGGAAGCATGAATGGAGGAGTCGGAAGTCTGATCAAAACTTTCCTTAGTCAGCGCTTGACATTAGTTACCGACTGTATGCCTTCCATAATGAGCAGTGAAGGATTTTCGGAATTAATTGATATTTACAGAAATATTCTGTTTGTGGGATACTGGTAGTAGATACGCGAACCGAAATGTGTGGAAACCAGTCCAACAACATCTGCTGAATGTGATGTTGAAGCACGAAAACACTGTCAACATAGCGTTCTGCGGTAGTTTCTGTAATCATTCGCATCAATGACATTGAGCAACTTCGTGTCACAATAGTTCACACAATCAACAAGTAATTTCTTCATCCAACATTTTTTTTCTCTTTTCAAATGGTGAAGCTAACAAACACAATGCTGGTGTCACTTTCTTCCTCCTGATTATATTTTGCGTAGACTTTACTCGATACATTTTTGGCTGAGCGATGTACGCCACCTTGAAGACAGGCTAGGGCTGAAATTGGAGCGCTAGTTTGATCGCAAGTAGTAGCGAGAGTGCAGCTGACTATCCAACTAGTAGTCCTACTTACTGGGACTTCAAATCGGAACGTGAATGCCCAGCTTTACTTCCACCGACTATTCGATCTTGTTTTTTGACCAGTAACAATAAATGTCGTTTACGGATATTTGTGTATTTAATTTATTATTAATGATTTTTATTACCTGTTGATGTAGTTGTTCTGTCTCACTCTCAGGAATATTGTTAAACACGAGGCAGTTAACATGGGCATATTTACAAAATACTAATGTTCTCTTTTCTGCAAACGATATCATTATAATCAGTACTCTTAATCTTCGTTTTAATAAAATCTTCATATATCGCATAAAGAAGGTCATAACAATTTTAATTACCAATTCTACCCAAAAGTTTGCTACTCACTCTTGTTGAGTGATTTCTGTGAATAGAAATATCTTTATTCACAAGAATCGGTTGGCAAACAAATAAATTATTTAAATTACTCCAAAGTGAATATAGTCGAGATACGGAAGTAATAAAAAATATACAATTTTAATATTTATTTATATACTCTACTAAAATGCCACTAAACCTCTAAAAATTTTTTGTTGAGAATGTCCATTTTGGTGACCCCAAAAAATATGCAAAAAAGTTTTCCACTTCTACCTTCCGGCTTCTCCCTAAAATCTCCATTCGTAGGGGAGAAAAACGGAAAAATCGATTTACCAATAATCTGTACGCCGTAGAAGAAAATATTTCAAATAAAAAATGTGTCTGAGATGATTTTAAACAAAAATGTTTATAAGCACTATTTATGTAAAATGCACCATTCTCTCAGAAATAACGCTTGAAGCGACCGGCGATTTTGAATGTCAGTTACGCGCTCGAAATCGATTTTAAATAAAATTTGTATCAACTCGATATCTTTTGTCAGAGGTCCTATCGATAAAAATCAAAATGCTTTTCAAATATGAAGAAAGCAGCTTTCGTATGGAATTTTTGTATTTTACCGCAAATAAAGTCCGGTTTTATAACAGTGTTAAATAAACAAACGTTGCGCAAGTTTTGTCATTTTTATGATTCACATGAGATAAATACAATTTATCACTTTCATTGACCGGTCACTATGAAATTTCGGTTCTTAGAACCCATTCTTCAAAACCTGCAGCATAAAATTTCGGTTTTGAGTTTTCGCAACCAAACTGAGGCATTTCAAATAAGCCTACAAAACGCTGAATTTAAACTTTCATATTACAAACAATCTAAAACATTTAAATCTGACTCTTTTCATTTACACAAGTACCTTTTTCGAAACTACACAACTTCAACTACAAATTTCATCTAATACCGTCTTCGTGGAGGCATTTTGCATGCTGTGCGATTGTTTGCAATGTAACAGTTTAAATTCTATGCTTCCTAAGCATATTTTAAATGCCTCATATTTGTTGCCAAAACTTAAAATCAACATTTCATGTTATAAGTTTAGAAGATTGGGATCTAACAGTGAACATTTCACTAGTACCGGTCAATGAAAGTGATAAATTTTATTAGATTTTATGAAAATGGTAAAAAATGGCAAAATGGGAAAGCATATTATCCGAAAAAAAAGAAATCCATGCGTCTTGTGTTCGTTTATCGCAAAACTCAAGGGTGGTCAACAAAACATGTGGGATCTATTGGTTTGCAACTTACCTTGAAATAATAAAAAACATGACACTTTATAGTGAAATATGATTCGGGGTAAAAGTTAAGAACCTTTCCCACACATTTTTT